CTTCTGGTCGTCGCGCTGCTTGATGCCTCCCGCCTTCTCGAGCGCACTCTGCCAAACATCCATCTGAGACTCCTCGCTCACGCCGCCGGCCGCGCTGCTGCTGCCGCCGCTGCCCGCGGCAAGGATGCCGCAGCCCGCTGCCCGCGGCCGCTTCACGCCGCCGCTCCCCATCAGGTCCCCCGCGAGCGCCTTTCGCTTGCCGTTAGCTCTGCCGCCGGCCTGCACCTTGCTAAACTGGAGGCTCCCGCCACTCCTGCCGCCGCCGCTGCCGCCGCCGCCGCCGCCGGGCGTGGCCAAGTCGGCGCCCGCGGCGGGCTCGTCGGAGCTGCTCTCTGGCTCCTCCGTCGCCGCGGATGGGCGCTTGGCCGGGTTGTGCTTTGGTGGCTTTGGCGCCGCCTTGCCGTCCGCTCTCCTGTCCGCCGTTCCGCCCCGACTGCCGCGAAGCTGCTGCAGCCGCTCGGCAAGGCGGCGGCGCAGCTCCTGCGCGCTCAGCTGCTCGCGCGGCGCGTCGCTCCTCGCGAGCCGCGAAAAGTCCGCCGGAGCCTCTGCGTCGCCATCGTCGCCCGCAGCGCCCTGCCGCGCCGCCTCCGCTGCTGCCGCCTCGCCGTCCTCGCGGAGCTCGCGCTCGCGCTCGGCGGCGACATGCTCGGCGACGCTCCGCTGCTGCGTCGGATCCAGCTTGATCCGTCGACGTTCGGTGGCCTCGGCCTTGTGCTGCGCCTTGGCCGCCGCCGCCGCCGGGCCCTTGCGCACGTGCTTCTGGAACTTTTTGGCCATCTCCTCGGGGTTGGGCGGGAGGTAGTACTTGGGCGGGACCATCGCGATCAGCCCCTCGAGGTACGCCGTGTGCTGCTGCAGCCGTGCCTCGCACATGTCGCCGCGCCTCGTAGCCGAGGGCAAAGAGAATTTTACCAGCTCAAGCTCACCGACGCCGCGCGCGCGCGCCACACACACACACACACACAAACCACACACACACACACACACACACACACACACACGCACACGCACACACACACACCACCACACACACTGAATTATAACACAGACAGTCACGCGGAGAAGAAAGTAGACACGTCAGACAGGTAGTCTCGCTCGGTGATAGGGTGCCCACAGGGCCCCCAAAAAGAAAGGAAAAAAACAAACGGGCGAACCTCGATCGCAGCACTTCGTGTTGGAGAGTCAAGAAATTGAGAGTGTGACTAGGAGGGTGGGATGCTGGGGATTCTCAAAGGTATGTATGTGTGTGTATCTAAGGAGAGGATTTCAACTTGGTGGACGGCAAATCGTGAAATTGCGAGTCACGCTCGGGCGGACAGCATCGATGCCGTCGCCGGACGCGGCGGCGAGGCACACGGGCGGCGGCGAGGCACACGGGCGCCGGCGTGGCGCGTCGGCAGGCCCACCATGAGCGGATGCGCGACGAGCGCGCTCGAGAGGCGGCCGCGGGCAACGCGGAGCTTCCGCCGGAGGACGACGCGGTCGAGATGGCGAGCGCCTAGCTGGCTGTGCTCGCCGCGGCCCCAGCTCCAGACGGACCCGTCGGCGGTGATGGCGAGGCTGCGATCCGCGCCTACTGACACTAGTCACCATTCTTACAGTGGTGTAGCTTGCGCATCGGCTGCAGCCTCTGCTGGGGCGGAATGCGCGGAGTTTGCGGCGCGATGCCCTCGGCGAGTACACGCTACGTGTCTGCCGCAAGCTCTCCTGCGCGCGCGTGATGTGTGGGACGCGTGCGCTGCGCTCAAACGTCGCGATTTGGCAGTAGGCGCTCGAGACGGCGCACAGCGGGCGGGTGCGCCGCGCAGGGGGGGTCGGGGGGTGCGAGAGGGGCGTGGGTCGGGCGCGCACCGGCAAGCCCTGGGAACGGCCGTCACGTCGAGGAGGGGGGCTGTGGGTGGCTCGAGCGGCGAGGCGTGCCGCTCTGCTGCGCCGTCAACAGCCCCTCTTCCGAGCCTATATAACACATTAGACAGACCCCGGACACACACGAGCCGAGCGGAGGTGCGGAGCACGATCACCACCGATCAGTCGATCAGACGCTCAGAGAGGTCAGAGCCAGCGTGCAGCGAGAGAAGAGCGAGAGAGTTAAGCTTAAGGGAGCATGAGAAGGGGGGGGGGCGCGAAAACACACACACACTACACACAGGTCCGGCCACGACGAGTGTTTTGTTCTCTCTCGCGACGTGTGGTTCACAGTCCGAGTCCGAGTCGTGTGTGGATGTCAGTTAAAGTATCCGTACGCGACGAATGGCTGGTAATACTGGGGTACATTAGGAAGTCAGCGCCATACTGCCATACCAGGGAGACAAGGACTCACACTGTGGTAGGGCCAGGGGGGTATCCGTACTGCTGTACACTCGTGCCCAGTGCGCCCGGTACCCGGATACCGGCGTCCGGCCTCCTCGTACTGCAATACTGCGAGAGAGGCGGCACAATACTGCCATACCTCCCACATACAAGTGTTACCGGGTTTTACCCGGAGGGTGTCGTGTGCCAACACCGTGCTAACGGCTGTGTTATCTGTTAACGCTTGTTTTGGGACTGCCGTTCGACTGTGCTAACACCGACCTTTGCGCCAAGTGTTGGCACGATCTGTAGTCAGTGCTGCCCCTGAGGTGTGCTAATGTTAGTCCACCAGCCCTGGCTGGAGCGCGAGCGCAATGGCACATCCAAGTGAGGCGAAGAACGGTATGAAGACGTTTTCAAAGGCACGGGGGCTCCAGGTCTCTGCTATTGTGGATAGCAGCCCGACGAGCATCAGCCACGGCCAGCCACCTATGGCCCACGCATCCGACAGCGAGAGTACGGTCGAGCCGAGGAACATGGCAACCATACCCTCGACGCTCTTGGTGTTGGTTTCGCCCATGCCGTACACTTGGAAACGGAGCTTGCCGAGCACACCGACGACCTCCGCAAGGGCATCACCATACCCGGCAGGGTTGACCACAATCGTCATGAGCGCGTGCTCGAACGCAACTCTGTCCGCGCGCCCCTCAGCGAAGAGCATGCCCAGGACGCCGCTGCAAAGCGGTACCGTCACGCCCATCCCCAAGATGGACCCGGTCGCCGCAAATATCTTGTTCGCCCGTCGGGCATAGCCGTCCGCGGTGCGCACGACCGAGAGCCAGTGCAGCACGTTCACCCAAAAGTTGACAGTTCGCAGAAGGAGCAGGCACACAACCACGTCGATCGTCGAATTCATTGAGTCGAATTGGAAGGCGGCCCAAGAGGTCGTGGTCACGGCTTGCGCCCAGGCATTCAGCCCAGCCCAGTTGTTCATGTGCGGCAGCTTTCTGCCCAAGCTGTCGATGGTGTAGATCGCCCAGCCTCCACGCACGCGGAGCTTCTCAGTGGGGATATCGATCTCGGGCCCGGCGATGAGACCCACCTCGTCGTCCGAAAGACCCTTCCACTTGTAGACCTGCCACGTGATGAGGCTCAATGCAAAGCGCAGACCGTAGCGAACGAGGAGCCAATAGACAAGATGCTGTCCCATCGTGCCCGTAAACGGCGTAAATCCATGCGTCTGTGCCCACTGGCCGAAGAACGGAAAGATGAAGACCGCAAACCAGACGATGGTAACGCAGAGCGCTGGGAAAAAGAACAGCGGGAGATACGCCGGCACCCAGCCGTAGAATGGGACGGGCAACCGACCGTACAGGACACCGCCTTCCTCCCCTTTTCGCGCTTGCAGGGGCTTGGTTGACCTCCACTCTATCCACTGTGTGTGTACGTACGTTTTTAGCTTACTGGGAGAAAAGGGAGAGGGTGTTCTCTAGGCCCCTAATGCCTAAAGGCCCTCTACGGAGCTACCAACGCGCGCCGCCCCCGGGCGTCGGTGCAGAGAGCTTTCTCCGGCCTCCGCTCGCGCCGGGGGAAGCGAGCTTTGCACGGCGATCGAGGACGGGGGCGCGGATCACCCCCTTATATTCTCTCTCCCCCTGTTTACGTTTTATCCGCGTATGTTTAGTAGACATATGCCAGCCCTTAACCCTTGGAATGGCCGGATCCAGGCCTTGAAAGTACAAGATCGCGCGCGCTTCGCGCGCTGCACCGCCTGTTCTCCGCGGCTGAGTGACGACGCGTGCCGTGTGCCAGCAGAGTTGGGCGCGCGCGGCGCGACGGCGCCCGCGAGGGAAGGCGCGGGTGCAGCGGGCCAGCGGCCACCGGCGGTCGTACCGCTCGCCGGCCAGCGCAGCAGCGGCCAGCGCAGCGGCGCCGCCGGCGCAGCAGCCAGAGCAGCCGGTGCGCGTCTTGCGAGGCGAGTACTGCCGCCCGGCAGCCTTGAGAGGCGGCCAGGCGGCAGCACTCGTTCGAATTTTGCGAGCCGTGCGCGCGCCGAGGCGCGCGCGGCGCCCGCCCGCCCGGCTGCCAGTAGGAGGGGGCGCAATATGGCCATAGTACAGCCCTTGAGGAGGAGGAAGAGGCTGGCTGGCAGTGCTGTATGCCGCCGAGGGGGCAGTTTTGGGGTGCTGACCCAATGCCAGGGGGCTGCAGAAGGCAACCGGGACAACCCGCCCCCCCAGCCGAGGCCGGTCGAAGCCCACTTGAGCACAGCCATGAGGAGTCCTCTTGGTGCTCCTGGCGGCCGTTGGAATGGCGAGCGCGCGCCGATGGGGGGGGGGGGGTCTTGCTTGCTCCACACCGAGCGCGCCATCGATCCGGACCGGCGTGCTCACCGAGGGTCGGCTTGCACAACGTCAACGAGGTCTGAGCCGCGGGAGATCGCGGGCGCTCGGCGCCAAGACCCAGGTGCAGTGTCACGCTCGCGCTGGAGCGGGTCACAATGGGGAACCCTCGTTTCCTAGTCACTCGGTCCCCCAACGGAAGAGGCCTCTCTCCTATTGAAACATTCCAACATCAGATTTGCCTCGTGCGTCCCTTTTTGAGCCCGAGAGAGCTATTTCTTTTGAAATAGGGTTGCCTTAACGTTAGGAGCTGAACAGTGTTGCTAGTGTGTTAACAGTAACAACAGAACAACAGTGGGGCTTCCCAACAACAGTAGCTGACGTTAGGCCGACTGAACAACAGTAAGGAAGGCCTGGCAGTGACCCACGACGATCTCCAGCGTCCCGCAGTGCGGCTGCGGGTAATACCCGAAAATACCCGGGAAACCCCAGGTATTTTCGGGTTTTACCCGGGTTTTTTGCCATTTTCTGCTTGCTGGCCGCTGAACAACAGTAACAACAGTAACAAACAGTAACAGCATGGGCTGGGGTGAACACTTGAACAACGTTGAGGATTTCAGCCAACAATAGCGCAACTGTTAGGCCCCAAATTAACGTTAGGCAACCCTAGCTCTGAAACCAACATCTCTTCTTGTTTTGTTTGGAGTGGCAGCGATATGTCTTACGCACAAAAATATATCGATGCGGGTTGTTTGATCAGCTGTGTGGCGCGGGCGGCGTGCATAACCAAGTGCTGGCACGTGCACGCTCCGCACGCCTGCACTCTCTCGAGAAGAGCCACCCGCACCCCGCTTCAATCTTCGGCCCGGTCGCTTAACTCGGCCCGGTCGCGCGCCCGCTTGGCGCGCCCCTGCAGCAGCCGCCACTGCTTGTGGCCGCCGTGGGCGTTGCAGTGACTTGGGGCCTTGCGTTCCTCGCTTTCCCACTGCGGGCACTCAGCTGCAGGTCGATCGCAAATGAAGCAGTAGCAGTGGCAACATGTCGCGGCGTTGCCCTCATGCGGCCGCTTGCGGTGGTGCGCACGAAAGGCTTGTGCAAGCAGAAGCCGCGAAGATGCGGCAAGTCGTGCAACCCGCCCGCTGCCGCCATGCCCTGCACCTCGTCATCGCCTTCCACCGCAAAAGTGATGCGTGGCGGTGGCGCGGGGGGTGCCACCTCCTCCACCTCATCATCGCTCGACGCTCCCGCCTCCGTCTCCACTTCACCTTGCTCGTCCGATCCCAGGCAAATGCAGTCGCTCGTGCGCCGCTGCTCGGAGGCGCATGTGCGACGGCTGAGAGCCTCACGCTCGCGCGTCACATGGCTGGCAAAGGAGGGGTTGGCGCGGACCTGCGCCTCGACAGTGCCTGCGTCCATGTCTCGATTGAGCCACGAATGCTTTAGATCCAGCAAGATAAGTGTGCCACATCACAATGAGCTTGCCACAACGAGATCGCTTCACCGTCACCGGCATGCTGAGCTCCTCGTCAATGCGCACGGAAGTTGAGGAGACAATTGTCGCGTGCCGTAGCAATGCCGCTAAACGCATTTGTACTCTATGCTTTCTGGATATGCCCTTTCGTTTGCTTCGCCGGCCTCTCTGGTCCGCCATGTTGTGCTCACTGCTCGTTGCGAGGCATCGGGAAAAAATATCTCTTCATTTCTTTCCCGCCTGGGCGGGGCGGTGGGCGGGCGCGCGGTGCGGCATGGCGTGTGCGTGTGCGCGACTGCAACGAAGGACCGCTCGCAGAGGACCATTGGGTTTGTACTATTAACAACGAAGGCGCTCTCAAAAAAATATGCCTACAGAAACCCTATCGGTGAACAGCACTGTTTAAAATCCCTGTGTGCAGTGTGGTGGCGGCGTACCGTCCTCCCATCCCTCCCTTGGTGTTTTCTTTTTTCTTCAGCCTGAGTGCTGAGACGCAGCTTCAGACAAACAATCATCGCACAGCCGCACAGCACTGTCATCCCTCTCCGCGAATGTGGATGACGGGGTGTCTACCACGTCTGTCCACTCCATGCTAGATGGCACTCAGGGAAGCCGCGCTAATATCGCTAATCGGCTCTGGCCTCTGGGCGCAGAGCGACAAAGACTACACTGTTCCGGCCTTGTGTGCGGAGGGAAGACGCGGAACACAATCGCTCTGCACACGCAGCGCTCTGCGTCGGGGCCTACTCATTCACAAATGGATGGGCTTCCCGACAGGCGCGTGTAGCCCCTCTCCCGCTCGTTGATCAGCCACGGGTGCTTGGCGCGCTTGTGCTGGTAGAGCCCTTGGCTGCTGCTGTAGCACTTGTCGCACGCGGGGCACTCGAAGCGGCGATCGCCGTCGTACGAGATGGCGCCGCGCGGGCTGCCGCGCGAGGCGATCGTCTCAGGGTGGTATGTCCGCTTGTGCTGGTATAACCCCGCCGCTGTCGCGTAGCACGCCACGCAGCCCGGCGCAGGGCAGACAAAGCTGCGCACCACAGACGTATCCAAGTTGTGCGGCGGCACGTATACTTTGCAAGTTGCCGACCGCGGGCCGGAGGACGGCGGGCCAAAGCGCACGATCGCCGAGGTGTGGCCGGGAGGCGTTCCCGGCGAGGCCGGTCGTTCTCGAGCTGCCGCTCTCGAGCTGCCGCTCCTCGACTTCTTGCTGATTGCGGACTCGCGAGCCATCGATGCTGCAGCCTCAGTGGTCGCAGCCAGCCGAGCCACCTCACCGGCTTTGCTTCTGCGAAAAAAGAAAAAAATCGCTTCGTGCTTAACCATCCACACCAATACCCTTCGGAGTCGCTCCTCATCGCAAACCCCGTCAGCAGTCCGCCTCGGGTACGTTACGTTCGTAAGAGCTACACAAGACTCCGGCTCCGGCTAGGTAGGTACCGTCGGGTCTCTATTTTAAGATGAGGTAAACAGCAATAGATCCGGGTGTAGTGCCGGATCAGTTCCTGGAGCCAGGGGGACCGATTCGCACTTGCCAAGGGACCAATTGCTGGAAGCCTGCGCAGCCTGCGCTCCGGCCGGCAGAGGGCTTGCGACCCGTGGCAGGGTGACAGCCCGCCGGTGGGCGAGCCAAACTCTGGCGGAGGCAGCCCGCTCAGCCCCAGGCGCCCCTCGAACCGGAGGGTGGTCTGCCGCCGCTGCGCGGTCGGCGCGCCGAGGGCGGGAGACATATCGCAGCTTCGCGCCACAGGTAACCTGGGGACCGATTCTCGACCCCAAGTTTGGCAGCGCGCGGGCAGTGTGAAGGATCGATTGCTGTACAACGAGGGACCGATTCCGTGAGGGCCGGGTATCGATTAGGCCGCTTGAGGGCCGGATCTATTGCTGTTTACCTCATCTTAAAATAGAGACCCGACGGTAGGTAGAAAGGTGAAGAACAGCCAGGCTCGGACTGGACACCAACGCGGTATGGGTGGACGCTGGACAGATGATGACGACACGCACGAGCGACACACAGACACAAACAAGCTCACATGTCACAAGACACACAGCCAGCGGGCTGCCACACACCCTGAGTCTGCGTACACATAACTCAAGGCCATATCCTCCCTGTCGCCCCCCCCAGCACTCCACGGTGCCAAGAGTACAAACAAATCCGGCTGGTAGTCGAAATATTACATGTGAAAGCGCCACCATAGGAAGGGATGGGATGAGGCACGCCGCCACCACATCTAAAGGCCACTGCAAGAAAAATCCGGAATTTCATGCCCGGCCCTGGATGTGCGGTTAATGACTGCACTCCAAGTGCGCTCCAAGACCAAGTGCATGCCGTCGCACCCTCTGTGTTCGTGTGCGTCGCCCATCTCTCCCTGGAGATGACTGCTCTATTTATTTATT